AACTCCGACCCGACTTGCTTGCACAAATTTCATTTAATAGAGATCTCTTTGCAAGTTTTTATTATAATAAAATGAATTAATTCGAAACCTACCCAAAAAATTAATATATTATTCACAAAAAATAAGCCCAAATCCCAAAAATTACGAGTTTGAATCATCGTCACTATCATCCCCACGTCGAGACATTAATGACTTTGCTCTGTTTTCCAAACCCCGGTATTTAATGTAGCAGCTCAGCACCCCAACCCAGCCCACCCTACCCTACACACCCTCCTTTTCCTCTTAATCAAATGGCCGTGGTCACCATCCCCTTTCTTCCTATTCTCTCCCAATGTCCACCACCACCCCCACCTCCTCTGTGCTCCGCCCTCCACCGCCCTTAACCACCACCAAAAACCCATTTTCCCAAAACCTCAGTTCAATCGGGTTCGGCTACGCCATTGCGATAGCCCTCGGGTTCCTCGTCCTCTTCTCCACCATCCTCCTTGCCTCCTACATCTGCTGCCGCTCCGCCGCCGCACGTCGCCGCCGTAACCTCCAACGAACCACCAACCCCGAAAACCCTAATGAAAACAGTGTCTACCTCCCTCGAATAATCTTCGTGGCCGAGGATGACGAAGAGAATTCTTCCCAAAACGTCGTTGGGCTCGATCAAGCTGTCATTAATTCGTATCCGAAGTTCGTCTTCTCCAAGAAAAAGGGAATTACCGACGTTGATACCGTGTGCGCCATATGCTTGTGCGAGTACAAGGAATCGGAGATGTTAAGGATGTTGCCCGATTGTAAGCATTATTTTCATGTGACATGTGTTGATGCGTGGTTGAAGCTTAATTCATCGTGCCCCGTTTGCCGGAATTCGCCGTTACCGACGCCGCTCTCAACGCCGTTGCAAGAGGTGGTACCGCTCTCTCAGTACTCCGATGGGCGGAGGAGGACGTGATGGAAATGGGAAGTGGTAAATTTAGCTATTTTTCGTAACTTTAGGGGTTGGTGTGAAAATATAAAGAAGTTTTGTGGTAGTTGGCATTAATAGACTTTTCATTTTTTAATTTTGGATATGTTGACGTGTGATTTCTGATTAGGAAGATTATTCTAAATATGGAGAATTGGAGAAGTTAATGAAATTACAAATATTCACGAATTAATACATTTTCTCTTATTAATTTGGAGTTACTTTTGCTAATTGATTTGTTTAACTTAATTACCAAAATTGATTAGGGGTTAAATCAATTAATGACCACATAACTTTATATGTTACCATAATGACTCAAATTTCATATAACGTTTTATAATGACCACATTTCTTTTCATCATTTTTACTAATTTTCAAAGGGGTAAAACGATAACTTTGCATTATATAATTTTTTTAAAAAGAAAATAAAAACTTATTTAAAAAAAACGTTACTTAAAAAAAGTAAAATAAAATAAAAACTTACTAAAACGTTTTTAAAATAAAATCAAATAAAAGTTCCTTAAAAAATAAAATAAAAACTTATTTTAAAAAACCTTTAATTATATATATAAAATGCAAAATCATTA